AAAGAGGAACAAATGGGAGGGACAGACACAGCTATCCGAGGGACAGAATAATAGTAAGATGCAAAATAAGGCAGAAGCAAGAGCCTTATAATTATGTGAGGTTTCCAAGGAGGTGACAGCCATTCCGAAAACATGAAATTCATATGCTGTGATCTTATTAGAGGCCAAGACAAGATGTCATTGCTGATCTGAAGTAAAAGGCCAGTTTATCTCATGCAAGGACAGTTCCCCAAAAGGCAGACTTTAATAACTACTAAGAGGAGAGATCCTTCTAAAAGTCTAAATGAATGGTGCAAGCTGTCAGTACCTTGATAAAGCATCACCAGCTTTTTGCAGTCCATTATCTCTGTTCTCCCAAAGGGCTAAGGCATTAAGGAGTAGAACAAGATGTAAAGTGAGAGGACTCCCAACCTGGTCTGTTCTCCAGTTCATACCAGGTGTGCAAAGACAGGTTCTGCATGTGGTCCACTGCCATCCGGCCCTGTCCAAAGCCAGGGGAGTCCTACAGTGTCTTGCTGCTGGGATAACAAGGACCGGGGATTGGTCCAAAGGATGCTTGAGAAGACTGGCAAAGCCAGAAGCAGCACCCGGTGGACAAGTGCCCTCCTCACCCTTGCTTGGTAGGAGTGGGTGTCTCTCTCTCTCCCCTTGATGTAGCCCAGCAATTTCCTGTTTACTGATGTCTGAGACATTCACGTTTACTATCAGGTCGAACTAACTGACAGTCCAGAGGAATTAAGGATTTCACACAGCTGTTGGCCTGTTTTCTTCCTCTCGAGAGGAGGAAAGGGCATCCATTAGCACCACAGCAGTCACAGGTAATGGAGACGTATGTCTGGCTTGCTGGAGGAACTTTCTCTTCCCATTTGAGAGGCAAGAAAGGCCAGACATGATTGGCCTTCTCTCACTCCTAATAAACCCTATGAATCACAAGTAATTGCCTACTTAAAGCTACTCTTCTCTGGGGAATGATCCGACAGCTGGCGCCAAAGGAAGGGAAAAGCAGGAGGGGGATCGGGGGGGATTTCAAAGAATAATTAGCTTAATACATTTCTGGGCCTCAATATGAACACTCAGTCTGAGCAATTCAAGCCTTGTGGCTGAATTAGAAATGGCTGCAAAAGATCCATTGCCATGAGGGACTGCACATGAAGGCAGCTTTAACAAGGTCAGCCTAAGGCAAGCCAAAGCGCCAGGCCTGGATATGGCCAAACATTAGAGGTGCACAGCCCATGGCTTTGTTGCCCATAGGCATAAATTCATAAATCTGCCAGGAGCGAATGGGCCTGAGCTTATTCTCAGTTAGCACTGGTTTTCCACCCAGGTTGCCACTGAGCATAGTGACATGCCACCATGTTAGCAAGAAAAGAATCAGGCTCAGTGACAGAATTTGAGTCACTCCAATCAATGCATGCATTGTAAAAAATAAAAAGAAAAAAGACATACAGAGCATACATGTTCTCTAGCACCCATTCTTAACACCTCTCCCTCCCACCAGCCTTTCACAATGGAAGGATATTACTATAAGGGCCATGTGTTAACAGGACGTTTTCCTTCATACACGGGACATCTGCCACTCTTCAGCACAGCAGAAGTGTACATATGACTGAAAGCACGCTCCTCTCTTCTGTGATTCCCTCCATTTCCCCAACATTACAATAGAGCCTAAACATAGGGGAACTTTAGCATAGAACTTGAATTTCCTTTCCAACCTCCCAGCATAGTGTACTTCTGCTCTGTGCACTGTCAGCATACTCTGTTTCATGGGATAGATCAAGGAGACCCATGACGCCACTCACCAACCCTCCAGTATGATGCTGAGGGGCAATGACTGGGAGATGGCCTGCACCTCCAAGCCCTGCAGAGGAGGCTGTATGCTACCCTCCTTCCTTAACAGCACTCAGCCCTCTCCCAAAGCTAAATGTGCCTTCAACTGCACTGTGAGACTAAAAATGTCTCCTGCCACCTCTAAGTTCTATTAATGTATTACAATTTGTTCTATGACTGGGGAACTACTGGGACAGTGCTGTGAGGGTCCTATTACCCTTATTCCCATTCAAGAGAACCACCTGACAAGTAAGTTGATAGGAATACCTATGAAAACACATACTAGAATGCAAGACTGGAAGAATTAATACTGTTCACTCCCTGAAAATCTCCCCTTCCAGGGCTGGAGGCAATCCATGAGGATATCCATCAGGCTGGAGGAGCACACATACTGTAAGCCCCCTTTGCTGAGAGAAAAGCAGTTTCACCTATGAGATAGGCTAGGTCCCTGCAAGGTCAGTACTTCGAGGCATCAGAATTTAATGAACGAGCAGCTAACATGTCCCTCTGTCTCACATGCATCCAGGGCAGGTCTGGCCTCTGCTGCAAGAACAGTGATAGGACAACATGACCTTAAGGCTAAAATAACACAGGACAGACATTCTCCAGGACAAATCAGAGCAGCTCGTGGATATGGAGGAGGCTAAGCCCATATATAGCAGCCAAGATCTGGCCCACCCTGAGGGTATGTCACATTAGTTTGTGAAGCCAGTTAATTAGTCTCTCTTGTTTCTTTTCCTGGTGTGAAGCAAGAATTCTGTCTGAGTTGAGAACGCAGTATTTTGAGAAAGACAGAGCTAAAGAGCCAAGGTTTCTTTTCTGCTCAGGAATTTATTGGGCCATTGATCTGATATGTATGCTTAAGGACAGCAGCAATGCCTTAAGGCAAGTGGCAGAGAGATGTCCCAGGAGCAGCACCTTCTTCCGTGGGAACCTCGTTAACTGAGACCCTTCATCTTCAATAGCACAGCTCCCACTGAATTCTCCCACTGAATGTAATCTGGACACTGTCACTAGCATTTGCTTGTCCTCCTCATCTCACTGCAGGATCTGCATATCAAACAGGCTCTGGATGAGCTGCCATCTCAGGGAAAACTCAGAAATGATTCTTTAGGTTTTGTTTGGCACAACAGCTCTCTTGGGCTGTAATCTGCAGAGACGCAGGGTAGGGGGGGGCACGTTCCACCTCATTGCCTTTGAGTAAGGAGGCCAGCTGCTATTAGCCCCTGTCCCGCTATCCCCTGCTGCAAGCCCATCAGGAGATGGGTAGACTTGTGCTCTGGAGCTAGGCTGTAGCCTCAGGCACAGCAGGCAAGGCTTGCAGCTTCAAGAACTGAATCATTTTCTCTCAGCCTGGGAAACCTGCCTGTCTCTTCAGCATGCATCGCTAGATTGAAGGCAGGGATGGTATCAATACACAAACATCATGGTAGACACTGTTCAGGACACTCATTGAATAAACCCCACTTTCCCTGAAAGCTCATGCTTTGAAGAGATGAATACGGAAGCGCACTGGGGACTTGCCCAGTGTAATCCAAGAGGGCAAGATGGCTCTTGGAGACCATCCCATGAAGGAGGTCTTTTGGGACATTCAGTTGCTGCGAGCCCTACAGGTACTGTATGCTCGTGAGCAAGGCAGTATCCCCGGATGCTGCAGTTCTTGGCTGCCCGCAATCTGTTTCTAAGCCTATGATCACAACTGAGTATCTGGGTCCGTTTTGGACCACAGAACCCAGGCAATGTGGAGCAAAGCCCAGCAGGTTTGGGGGAATTGGTGTCACAGCCAGAGTTGGGGAAACTACTTCCTCCATCAGCCCCACGTAGCCAAAGGGCCAGGCCTGTTCAGGCAGGGCAAAAGCTCAAGTTGAACAAAAGGCTAAAGTATTTGCTGAAAGACGTCCCACCACAGTGCGAATGCAGTCCCACCCACCCCGTCCCCTTCTCCCACAGCCTGAGGAGGAAGCCTCTGTACCTGTTTATTCTTTAGGTCAAGGGAGAGCTCATAATCGGAGGCAGCTGCATGGGAACACGAGGCCGTCCCTTTGCTGCGCTGCACTCTCACTGGGGAGCCCGTGTGGTGGAGGCTCGCCTTCTGCACCAGAGGGGAACACCCCGCTGCCTGCTCTTCTTGGAGCTCCGCATGCTGGGCTTTTAGCGTCAGGGTGTCGGACCTGCCTTCCTGGCCACTCTGTCTGCCGGCCTCCTTCGGATCCTCCGTTTCACACCCGGCTTTCTTGCTTGTGGAACCGCTGGGATCGTCACTGTGAACAAAATGCAACGTTTCGCTTTTTTTATTTGTTTTTATTATATTTTATTTATGATTATGTTTATTGTTGTTCGCTATACTTATTCACTGAGCTGCATTTTAAATGCTTAGAGAGCCTGGGCAGTGAGGGGTCTCTCTCAGTGATGGATCAGGACTTTAGGTTGATGCAGCCAAAGCTCTGATCCCTCCCTCCCTGAGAGCAGGCACCTGTGCTGCACGCACTGTATGAACCAGTCCTGTGACTGCTGGAGCTGCTTGGCTGCCTCTGCTCAAGGTGCTAAAGTTGGAGATGAGGGGCCAAGGAAGGTTCCATGGCCTACAGAAACCTCTCCTGCTCCTTGGAGCAGCTAGCAGTTGGCAGTCACCCCTGTGCCCTTGCTGCCTATTGCTCAGCATCCCCCTGTGCATCCCAGGGTCCCATCTGGCATGGAGCCTGGATCCCAAGGGTCCAGTTTTCCCCTGGAGTTTCTAAGAGCATGTGAGAAACGGTGCAGGGGCAGCTGAATGTTGCAGAGTTTCCAGAGAAACTCTTGGAGAGCTGAGAATATAAAGATGCAACAGAGCCAGCCAGCCCAGAGATCCTGACTCTTTAAAGCCTATAGCCATACACAGCCGTAGCAGACTGCAGAACTTTCATGAAAGAAGCTGTTTCTCTCTGACCCACAGATTGCTGTGCCACTGAGATATTGAGG